TCGATCTAGCTAAGTTTTCACAAGGGCACACAAACAATTTATTACAGTGATCTCGAAACCCGACCTTCCCTAACAAGTAGGCTGATCAAAACAAGAAATTCTCGTTCGTCCATAGACGTAGTCGCCGGCGGACGTCGTATTGCTTGGTACGTATGTATCACGCGGGTCCAATATCCAAGTACACCTAGCGTGACCTCCGATAGTGGCGCTCGTCAATAGATAACGCACAAAAACTGAGGCACCACCCCCACAGTGACAGGGCCGGCGGAATGGAGCCCTGTTTACTCGTATGTTGGTACATAAGTAAAACAGTGGACTTGAACATAACAAAAAATAAATCGAGGGTTACCATTGGGTTAATCATGTATTGTGGGATGAGATGGATTGTTAGTAATGGGGTCTAATTGTCCCCTTGATAGGATCATAGTCTATCAGATCGACCGCCATCGTCGGATATGTGGTGAGTGCGAAAGCGAACCCATGTCTCTGACATATGGCACCTGGAGTGTATTTCGTCTGGTTTTTGGTGGGTACACCCCCGTTTAAAATACTTGTACTACGTTAAAATACTATATATTATTCTTAATTTCGTGTATAATATAGTGTATGTCATATATGTGTAAGTATATTTGTTATTCATATATATTTATTCGTTTACATATGTAATTTTAGTATGTATGTATATCAATAATTACTAGTACCGCATTCGAATATTCTGACACTTCCCTTTGGTTGACTGGGAGAGCTTTTAGCATTAAGTCCGCCATGTACACATTTATATACTAACTAGCGGTCCGTCCCGGCGTCGCACGGGTGGGCATTTTTAAAAAGTGGCCATTAGGGCTGCATACGCGACGGAAGCTTAAAAATAGAGTAACTTCTCCCGTTTTCCCAACATTTCCCTTCACTGTGCTGCTCCTATAGATCATAGCGTGATGAAAAGTATACTATAACCTGCCCAGGAGTATGAAGAATAATTGTATCAAGTTTCGTTAAAATCCGTAGTAAGTAGTTTTTGTTTCTATAACGAACATACAGACAGATAGACAAAAATTTTACTGATTTTTGGCATCAGTATCGATCACTAATCATCCCCTAATAGTTATTTTGGAAATATATTTCATGTACAGAATTAACCTCTCTACAGATTTATTATAAGTATAGATGAATAAATAAATAAAAAAAGGTCGACCACCATGCGGTTTCTCATGAAAATCGTCGTGGTTAATTTTTGTGGAATTCGTCACGATGTGCCAATTGACTCATTTCATCCTCACCTAACATCTGTCACTGGTGCCCCGCCGGTGTATACCGACAGCGTAGGCGGGGTACTATTTCATTTTCACCCATTAAAAAGACTGCATATTGTGAGATGTAGCATAATCTGTTCATGTCTACGGACATACTACTTTAATAGAAGAAACTGATATATATATATATATATATATATATATATATATATATATATATATATATATATATATATATATATATATATATATAATAAGAGTGTAAACAAACGAATAACCGAACCGACCGTGAGAGGGTCTGTTTACGTCCAACAGTTTGTTGACGACAAATCATTGATCGGTCGATTGATTGGTTGTTTAAGCGTGTTACTAATTTTACTTAAACAGTGTTTAAACAACAGATTTGCAACTTTTTTTATTGAAATAAACTGTACAGCTATCGCTTTCCACAGCGTTATTATTTATTTACCAGATACTCCTTTCCACTTTGGGTGTTGCTGGAAGAGAACTCTTTTAGAGTTAAAGCTCACCTTTGTACATTTGATTACCTCTGTCATATTTATTTATTTAAACTATAATGGACAGTGGAACTATGTACATATCGTCACAGTCGTAGAATACTGACGGATCTATATATGTAATATTTGTCAGATCCGTCAGTATTCTACGACTATGACGATATGGCGGACTTAACACCAGACGGTGTTCTCTATCAGTCAACCATTGTCTTTTATCTATTATTAGTGTGTAAAAAAAAAAAAAGTATATATAAATGGCTATTCCATGGGAAGTGTTTGAAGTTACTACGTTTCCTCATTCTTCCTTTCCTTTGCCGGTGCCATTTTTTTTAATGGGTGATAATGGAATGGTAACCCCGCCCGCGCTATCGGTATATACCGGCGGGGCACCAGTGAAGGATGATAGGTTACGATGAAAGCAGGTCAGTTAGCCCATCGTGACGAATTCCACTAGAATTGTTTCTAATGAGAACCCCTTGGAGGTTACTAGCAATGAGGCTATTAATCCCCATTAGTGGGAGGAAAGGGATTGTTAGTAATGGGGTCAAATAGCCCCATTACTAGCAATACATCCTGTCAGGTCGACCTCCACGTGGTTCCCCCTGGAAACCATCGTGGTTAATTCTAGTTGAATTCGTCACGATGGGCTAACTGACCTACTTTATCCTCACCTATCATCCTTCACTGGTTCCCCGCCGGTGTATACCAATAGCGCAAACGGGGATACCATACCATAATCACCTGTTAAAAGGGGGGAAAGGAATTGTTAGCAATGAAGTTTGACAGCTCCATTGCTAGCAATATGCCTTATTAGGTCGACTTCCACGTGGTTCCCTCTGGAAACTATCGTGAACAATTCTTGTTGAATTCGTCACGATGGGCTAACTGACCTACTTTATCCTCACCTATCATCCTTCACTGGTGCCCCGCCGGTGTATACCGATAGCGCGGATGGGGTTACCATTCCATTATCATCCATTAAAAAAAAATCACCTGTTAAAAAAATCCCCATTACTAACAATCCCTTCTCCCCTCGCATGGGAAATGTTTAAATCTACTACATTCCCTCATTCTTCATTTCTCTCACCGGTACCATTGGGTCAGAGGCTGCATTATTACAAAATAGACGGCTCGCATTTGAGTGACTATAGTTGGTTGTTCAGAAGTAAAGTTGTTTGTGATTGGAACAGTAAGGTATGGCAGTGAAATTACAGAATACCGAGGCGTAACACCATACTAGTGTTCTATATATATATATATATATATATATATATATATATATATATATATATATATATATATATATATATATATATATATATATGAGCAGTACCATGGACATAACAGAAATTTATATAATAGTATTTCTAAGTAAGCTCATTAAAAATATGTATATACATATGTTACAAAAAGAGATAACAAGAAAGCTTGTTGCGGTGAATAGTTTGATGCACATTCATACTAAATAATGTATTTTATTAATTGATATAAGATGTTAGAACGCGCGCTAAGAGAAATGAGTAAATAAAGTGAAATAGATATTTTTTTTATACAAGTTAGAATGGCAAACAAACTGACGGCCCACCTGATGGAAAGTGGTAACTGTCGCCTATAGACATGAGCAGTACCATGGATATAACAGAGTATACTGTTTCGCCCATGATACCCCCCATGCGTTGCCATTCCTGAGGACTCAGGTGTTATTCCTCAGTACCCAGTAAATTCACGCCATATCCCACCCTTCAAACCGAAACACAGCCATGCAAACACAACTGCTTTACGGTTTAAAAACGAATAGGACAGAGGTACCCAAGCAATCGACTTTTGTACAAAGTCTCCCTCTGGTAAAATTATTATACCTATATATATGTATTATATTAGAAGTATTAATATATAGATTGTACAAGCAAAGCGTTCATGTCCAAGTTTGTTATCAAATTTAAATTTATGTGACCCATTCAGTTAATATAATACTTAGAATTGAATTTTTCATGTGTCCACGAGCGGCCAAGCCCAGCAAGCTGCATCGTAATCAACACGATTACCGTGGTCGCATAGATGATGCAATAACGAAAAAAAATATCACGATCAAACTATGATTTATGTAATCGCACGCACATAAAAACGTTCCAGGGTTTGAAGACTATGGACTTAGAACGTGGCACAAACTATTATAACCTACCTGGACATATCAAGCGTCCAAAACTTTTAAAATAAAACAATCTTTTAGTTTTAGATTAATAAAGAATCAGAAGTTTTATTATGTTTTTAATTTGTATTTTTTTTCTTTTTTAATTTTAATTTATTTACTATTTTTTTTAACAGTTATATCTAGGCGTTATTCTCAAATAATGTGATGCAAGCTTTACTATTGACCATTTTAATGTAGTTTCCAATAGTATTGTTTATATTTTGTGTGTTTCCTTCACTTGTATTGTACATATGTGCAAATTTTAGTGGTTTTTAATTAGTATATAAGTGTGTAATTATATATTGTTATAGCTATATGTTTGCCGTAAATAAATACATAAAAATAAATAATGTTCTTAATTAATTTATCCTTGGGTAATTTTAAACTTTTTTTTAGAATTTATAATGTTTTAACATTTCTTAACAGGCAGCTAATCAGTTAAATATTAGGTTTAAGTATGTAACCGAATATATACTAAATATTTTTATATTGCAAATCGAGATATTGTTCTCAAAACCATATGAGATGTATTGTTATTATTATTAGACGGAATTTTTCACGCAAAACCTGTGCCACTACGATCTTTCCACGATTTTTTGTGCTCGTACTTTTTTTTAAATTCGCTGCCAATTCCTATTAGCGATAGGAATCCTAAAATGTCTTAAATGCGATGTATATAATACTGAATTTAAGAATAGTTGATTGAGTCAATAAAGCGCCAAGATGTACCAAATTCTTTTTCATCTTCACTGCTTAAATATTATTATTTATTAATAATTATATAGAAATAGTAAAATATGAATTACAAAATATGCTAACATTTGTCAATATTTTTTTTATAAGAATTCACTGTACTTAGTCATCTCTTGTGAAGGGCAGACGTAATCGCCCCGACCGCGAAAACCTTATCAAATACGCCCAAACGCAAAAAAAATCACCAATCTCGAGTACTTCTCTACTGCTCCCTTACCTGCTGATCCCAATGACTCACTTCATACAAACACAGCATCCCCCTATATTAGCGGCGGCCAATCTCTCACGCGAATAGTCGTGCGCCGTCCGTCGCCGAATCCGCACGCATGCGTCTCGACCTTCTATATTATTTTAACTGCTTGCGCCGTAGGAATCTACCGCCGAAAATGTCGCGAGTGATCCTAATAGTATCTCTAGTCATTAGCTTTTTAAGTCTCCAATGTGAGATGTTAGGTACGTGCGCGAATTGCGCGAATGGGGATCTGACTGTAGCTGAACTTAATCACGCCAGGATAGCGTTCGTTAAGCAGCAAATCCTGAAGAAGCTGAGGCTGAGCAAGAAGCCGATTGTCGGCCTTCCGGTGAACAGCCTGCCGATGCCGGTAGCTCAGGGCCAGACGCTGAGCGAGAGGACAGACAAGCCGCCAGAGTTCGACGATTATTATGGAAGAACAGAGCAGAAGATCATATTTCCAGTGGAAGGTTAGTAACATAGTATTTAGTTTGATCACTCAGTGAAAATCTGCTAATAAGAAATTTGGGCAACTGTCGAAGTCACTTAAAAGAAAAGAGTGTAAACTTTAACAGATTTGTCATGGTTTTTACCATGCTATATTGGTTAAATTTGACCAAGTTCTGAAATTCAGTTCTGGACAGTTTATTAAAGAGTGTTTATCAATTATTGTTGGAGAGTTCTCAGTATTTAAACATTAAAAGAGTTGTTCGAACTTTATCAACCGGGTTATATTGTTTGATGAGGGTAAAAAGTAGTTTTTTTTAACCAAAAAACTGTGTATGTCAAATATTAAGACGATAAATTGAACTGTAAATACGCTAATAAATAACAAACTATTTCGCTTTCATAGGTGTTTATCAATTGTTATTAATTATCAAGTATAAAGTTGTTGACTAAAGTTGTCCTTTTTTGCCATATAATAGATACTTTTGTTTATTTACTTGCTTGCAAAATAGATATTTTTTTTAATTTGCTATAAACTTTCTATTTACGATATTCCGTAGTTGGACAGAAGTGGTGATACTTACTTCGTTATCACATTTAGCAGTTATTATCATATTCATAAATTTAAAAATAAATAACCTTTCAGTTTTCATAGAAATATTAATGAAACCAGCGGTCAGCCAGTGGTCAAAATTCGACCATAATATATATTGTAATAAATGAATTTATTATGGCTTTATTTGACATTTAGTAAGACTATAGACAAATCATGTTAAAAACAAACGATATTAATCTACTCTCAATTTGACCACAGACTTTAACAATAAACAAAAGAGTATATAAGCGTGTGTGTGTTAAATACATGGTCGTGTGTGTAAACATGTTTTCATTTATTTAATTTATGTTTTGTGCATAATAAAAAAATATTAGCACTCTGCCCTCCTTCTCTATATAAACTATAAGTGTGCGAAATTTCATACTTCTCCGTCTGGCAATTTTTGTAAAAAGGGGTACAAAGTTTTTGCTTCACGTATTAATATATAGATGAAAAAAATTGATTGATACAGTGGGGTTTGAAGAAGGCGCGAGACTTTCTATGTCAAACCGTAGCTCCAGTGCCTTTACCACTGATTCTAGTGTGTCTGACCATAAATATATTTCATAGTTTTCCTTCACGAAGATAGGTACGAAAAGACAAGTATATTAAGTATGTCTTTTTTAAAATGGTTTTAATTATTAATGTTTAAGTTTTAATTTAATGACTAAAAATAGTCATTAGGCGATTAAAACAGGTTTTGCCAGTAGTTGCCAGGATTGGCAAGCAGATTGGCACCCGCAGTCAGGCTTTAGAGATGTTTTAAGAGGGACGCTGCTGCCCATACTTCACCGTCCCTTAGTCGTCTTTTACGATATCCACAGAAAAGGTAGGCGTGGCCAATTCTATGGCGGGACCACACGGCCAAGTTATTAAATTAAGGGAAAGGGATTGTTAATAATGAGGTTTATCTGCTCCATTGCTAGCAATATACTCTAACAGGTCGACCTCCACGTGGTTTCCCTTGGAAACCATCGTAGTTAACTCTAGTGGAATTCACGATGGGCCACCAGCCACCCTTCACTGGTGCCCTGCCAATGTATACCGATAGCGCGGGCAGGATTACCATTTCATTATCATCCATTAAAAAAAGTTTACTTGAATAAAAATTATTTGTATTTATTATTTATTTATTTCTATATTCAATAGTAAACATTTAAAATGTTGCACAGAGAATTCTTCTTCGCATCCTATGGTATCTGCTAACGTCTTTAAGTTTCTTCTCTGTTTTACATTCCCACTCGTTCCCATTCTCACATACTCCCACATACATAATGGGGGATAATAGGGTTTTTTTTTTGATGGATGAAAATGGTATGGTAACCCCGCCTGCGCTAACGGGATACGCTGGCTGGTTGGGTATATTGCTAGCAATGGGATTCTCAGTCTCCATTACTAACAATCCCTTTACCCCCGGGGGATAATAGGGTGTCCTGCTCCCAAATAGGATATTCACGTCGTGTGTTTAGATAGAGAATTAGGCATAGATATACAAGATAACATGCCCGAGAAAGGCCATAGCATTTTAAAGATAAATACTTCGATAATAGATTGTTGAATTGATAATTATTTCAAATGATTCATAGTCATTAATGAGTCGGGGGATAATATGGGTGAATCATCGAGAAGACTATCAGATAATGTCTTTTATGATACGATAGATATGATATGGGGTTGTTTGAAGCATTCTCCTCTAAATTTGTTTCTAAAACTATTTTAGTTTCACATTACAGTAAAGTCAAAGAGCTTCAGTGAAAATTGGATCGTTTTGAGGGCACTGTTTTTTAAAACCGATTCCTAAAATTAATATTACAATATCTAGCGAGATCTTTATTGTAATGACCAAGTTTAATTAAATTGCTAATTTAAAGTTTTAAATCAAAATCATTAGAAATTTAGTTTATAATGGTCCATGAAACAATAACAATTTAGTGAAACTATTAAAATATTAGTTTGAGAGTTACAGTTAACGCCCCAGAACTTTCTCTAATGAGTAGCTTTTCGCTGAAAAGCTTAACGTTAGATGCACACTAAGCTTAGCGCAGTTAAGTCCTTAGATGCCTACGTCTTATGAAATCTAAATTGTATTACGAGCGAAAACTTTATAATTGCACGCTTCTAAGTGGTCACGTACAGAGATATTGTATGTTATCTTAAACATATAACAGCTATATCTAAAAAGAAATATAAACATATTCACAAAGACACGCCCCCCTCTCGTGACTATCCAAATATAAAGAGCGTGAGACACAAAATAGAATATTAAGTTATACGCGTATTATTTAAAATTTCATCACATTTACAAAAACATGTTTACATTTTAACAACATTCATCATCGGACCAACTTTATAATCATTCATAGTGAGTTAGAATTAAAAAAAAATCTATCCTAAAAAGCGATTGAAATGTTAACCAAAAAACGGCAGTCAAAATAATGATTAAAGTAAAAAAGAACTTTACAAAAACCAATCTAAAATCACAATCATAACAATTAATGTTAGTGGATAAAAACTTCCATCCCCGAGATGCCATAAAAATTTACTAGTTCAATATAATATAATATGTAACAAAGCCTATTGAAACAGTTGAACTCCTTGATCTAAAAAAAAAAAAAACTATAATAGTAACAGTTTCTATAAGTTTTTAACAGTTTATAATCACGATGCCTATTTTATATGTCATCACACTTTCATAATCTAATAATAATCAATTTTAAAAATCCAGTAACCAAATATTCTAAACCATACGTCACGATAGACTTTCGGACATATTTAATACGTATTTAATTTACTTCTGCAAAAAGTTATTCTAAGCTACGCCTCTTAAGAAATTTAATTAAAAGTGATAACAATACAATTATGAATCCAATATGGCGTTGGTAAGGTCACAAAACTTTTAATTACTTTATTATTTAGCATTAAATATGTTTATCATATAATACATTGGTTTGAGTATAGTTATTTTTAAACTATCTAAAGATATATGAAAGAGAGGACTTTGCTCTAAAATGGGATGTAATCTATAATTCATTGATTATTATAATTTTTTATTATTGTAAATAATATATATATATATATATATATATATATATATATATATATATATATATATATATATTATTATTCTATATATACGTATATATAGATAAATATTTTTCTATATTCAACATTTTTTTTTATTTAATTATCATACATAAATACATTAAAAAAAATTGGATTTTTAATACCACTTAAACCTCTTGGGCTTGTGTGTGATACATCTTATGTTGCATGATAACTTTGCCATTTGTAAATCGATTTTATAGAATCTTTCTTCCATCAAAAGTGTTTACCTTTATGTTGGTCATATACAGATTATATATATAATAGATATACAAAATTTTTAGAGGATAATCTTATACATTTTTTTTAAAAAACTTGCGGCGCGACATGTATATGTTAAATTTTCCAATCAAAATGGTAATGCAGTTAGTTATATTGTATATCTAGTTATTTATGTTTTCGTAAATTTATTATAAGTTCGATTCGGATCAAATTCGTCAAGGAAATAGCCTGACGGTGCAGCTGTTAAATAAATAGCCGGTATAGTTCAGTTAATGATAAACATTAGAGTCTACGGCCTCATACAGGCCCAGTACAAAGTCATCTCACTACATGTGCGTCGTAAAGAGATACGGTCATGCAAATATTGTAGTTGACGGCGACGAATACATTTCGCCATTATTTTTAAACATTCTCTTACAAGTAAAATGGAATATAGGTTGAAAAATTATTATTTATTATTATTTTTATTTAACACTTTATTGCACCAACATAACAGGATTTGTTGAACAATTTTCAATAAGTATAGTGTAGTACAAAAGACGGTCTTATTGCTAAGCAATCTCTTCCAGACGACCTTTGGGTAGAAGAAATTAAAGCATAAATAGGTAGGTGGCGCGTTAAAAGAAATAGATATGTAAAAAATAATATCTTAATAATATCGTAAAAATAATTACAAGATTTTTAAATATTTATTTTTAATTTATTTATTTATGGCCCGAAAAGGCCATAGATTAACATAGGCCTAGAAATATATATCTTATAGTGTAACATACATACTTAAAAATATATACAACTAGAAAATATATAATAAAGAATATATGATAATATACAATATTATTAGTAATTAAAAGAGAAAAACTACTATTACAAAATGCTTAAATCTAAGTTTGAACAAAAAAAATTCCGACTACCAAGCTTAAGGCTATATGAACATATATTAAAGGCGTATACGCACAGATATCAATGTATACTAACTAACTAACATGGCCGTATCCCCGAAAACGACGGAAAACAACACTTTTTGGCCATAATTCTTTCATCACGAGAATCGATAGACTTAAATGGACAAGGTTTATTTATTAGATTTAATTATTGAAATAATTA